AAATGGATAGTTAGGAGAGTGGTGTTTTAAAGCCCTATTTGTTCTAAGTGTTCGTTCATTCTGGCTAATTTTCTGAGCCGATCTCCCTATACCATAATCATTTAGGACTGCAATATGGATTGGGTTAATTGTTTTCTGGGTTTAGTCTTCTAGAGAAGGTTATGAAATTCTATTTTAATTGAGTTTTTTGTGAAGTTATAGCTGCATATTATAGAGGTTGTAAGTCTAAGAAATGCATAGGGCCTGCGCCGGTATGATACGAACAGCAATCTTTACTTTTTCATTTGTGGATCTTTTCATTCATTGCTCTGGCAGATAGTATCAGGGATCTGCGGCAGTTTTATATGTAATTCATATGATATGTTAATTCTGTAAAATCTTCCTGATTCACATTTGTTTTCAAATGACATTTTAATATCCTTCCAGATGTCTACTTTTATATTTGCTTGGTGAAGTAATATGCTAGGATTCAAGAATAAAATTGTTCCCAGTTTTCATTAATTAGATTTGTAAATTAGCTTCATGTAGCATGTATGTAGAACTTAATGGGTTAAATCTACAGGAACCGAATCAAATCCATTTTCACTTGACGCACTTGCTGTTTTCATACATCGAGTGCTTCGCCGTGTTAATCATCCGGTATTTCTCACTATCGTTTTCAATAGTTTGTATGATGCACACCTCCTAGGAAATCGAGTACAATGTTGCTGACATTTTATTTATTTTTTGGGACTTGAAGGGGAACCTTGACAAGTCCTCTCCAAATGTTGGCTATGTGTTGCTGATGTTTTACCACCTTTACCAGGGCAAGGTAGTTGTTTTTCCACGCATTTTTTGGTTGTTGCTTATTTAAAATTTCTTCCTTATCTTATTGTCTGCTCTTTATCAGAGCCGCAAGGAGTTTGAGGCCGAGTTAATTGAACGTTTTGGCTCTCTTGTGAAGATGCCTTTACTGAAGCCTAATAGGTCTGCTGTTCTACTCTGAAGATCTCTTTCATTAAACTTTTGAATTTCTTAAAATTGGATCAGTCTTCCTGGCGAGGACAAATGTTGTGGATGTTTAGAACCATATTTGTAGTTTTACTTTCTCACTTTTCTTCTGCAAAGGTAATTTATCAACACTTCAGGTTAGTGTACATAGTTATGGTGTACAGTGTCTCTTAAAAACAAAGAGCTTTACATGCTTGCCACTAAAACTTTTGGGCTTCTGTTGACTTATCCACTTTCTGGTGCCCCCACCAATTTCTATAGTCAATTTTGTCTACACTATGGCTTACTAATCGTCGCTAATGTAAAGAAAATATTTGATTTTAACTCTGTAATCTTGTCAACTCCATCCAATATATTTGCATTTCAAAGCATCCCTAACTTAGAAATGAAATAGGAGCAATTTGGTTGTGATCTATCAAGATACTCATTTCATTATCATAGAAGTATTTACAGTATGGATTATATCAGAACAAATTGTTAAGTTGGTACTGTGTCTATAACGTTTGTTTTTTTCTGATATACATGTTATTTCCATTCTCCCTTTGGTTTCTTTAATGGTATAATCAGTTCCTTCCTTTCCTGAGGGCTACAAATTGAGACATGCTTATTTTGTCATCTTATTTTCTTCTGATTTAATGTGCTTCAAGTGTGTCTTTCTTTCTTACCTTTACCTGTAGGTCTCCTCTACCTGTTTCTGTGAGTTCTGTTTTGGAAGAGGGGATAAACCTGTACAAGCTTCACACAATCAGGCATGGAAGGTTGGTAATCAGATTTCCATCTTGTTCTGGATTTGTGTCCTGAGAACCATAATAAAGGAGGTTTCCCAATTGATTCAGTCGAGAGCTGTGTTTCTTTCAGATTGGAGTCAACCAAAGGAACCTATGCAACAGAATGGACTAAATGGGAGAAGGAATTGCGAGAGATTTTATCAAGCAATTCTGAGTACCTTGATTCGGTGCAGGTGAATGCCTATTTGGTTTGGATGCTTGTATAATATCCTATCATCATTTTCATTTGCACATCAGTTAGTGATATCCTCTTCCTGAAGAACTTGGTGCACTGAGGATCAATATGATGCATAAGTGGTTTGCTTGGAGGCTTTTGCCATGGTTGCTTATTACACAAGAATTAGCTGAACTAGCCTTACCTTGAAGCCCACACCAAATCCAAAGCAAACCCCCTCACTCGGGTTTGTACATACTAAAATGTGAACATATATAATTAATGGGGAAAACAACCATAATAAATCTGCTCTGGTCAAACATCTTGTCCTTCATTTGTGGGGTGAAGTTCTTAATTTCACTGTGTTGGTTTCTCGTTATATGTTCTTTCAGGTTCCATTTGAATTTGCTGTCAAGCAAGTCTTGGAACAACTAAAAGCAGTTGCAAAGGGTGAGTATTCAGCACCAGTAATTGAGAAAAGAAGGCTTGGGGCTATTGTATACGCTGCTGTGAGTTTGCCTGTTGCAGAAATCCATGAATTCCTCCAAAGGGTGAGTTAACAAGTGTTTTCTCTTGCATAGCATAGTAAATTTAGTGAGATTTTCTTTATTCTATCTTTGGTTCTTTAGGATGGGAACTTAATTGGATATAAATTGGGCTTGTAGCACTTGAGTAGAACGTTAAATTTTATGGATACTCCAACTCCAGTCCAATTCTGTTTTTCCATGAAGATTCAAAACCTTTTGCAATTGAATAGCCTTCAGACCCATGATAGGTCTTGCCTCATTCCACTTGCTCTTCTAGAAGTTCATGAGGAACCATGTGGCATACGTAATTTGAGATTCTGAAGTCCTCTGTGCAGTTGATAATAGCTACGGACCTTTTTGTCTTGGTCTTCTTACGTCTATAATTTGTAGAGTGGTCTGGGAAGGGTTAAGCAAGTATCAACGTGGTGGCATTCACATTTCATTCTGGATGGATAACCTTTTCTGGTTTTGAGTCCCATACTACCTTTTCTTTTTAATTAAAAAAAAGGAAATGAAAAAAAGAGCCAGGAAATTTGGCAATGTGATTGCTGAATACGTTTTACTTCTTTCTTTGCTGTTTTCTTGTTTACTCAAGGATTTGGTTTCACATTTCCCTCATTTCTCTTATGATGAATTTATGGGATGAAAATCAGTATAACAGATTTGTATTGTTTCCTTTCTTGAATCAGATAGCTGAGAAGGATCCTGACGTTGAAACCTTCTTCAAGGAGAAAAACCTGAAGGATAGTCTCACAAAAGCTCATGTGACGCTGGCTCACAAGAGAAGTCATGGTGTTACTGCTGTTGCAAATTATGGCTCGTTTCTTAATCAAAAGGTACCTGTGGATATAACTGCGCTACTATTTTCTGGGAAATTGGCAGCATTAGAAGCTCACACAGGCTCGGTAAATGGTGAAAAGATAACTTCTAAAAACCAGTGGCCTCATGTCACATTATGGACTGGTGAAGGAGTTGCAGCCAAAGATGCCAACGCATTGCCACAGTTAGTTACGGAAGGGAAGGCTACTCGTGTAGGGATTGATCCCCCCATCACGATAACTGGCGTCCTACAATTCTTTTAAGTTCCATGTTTCAAGATAATCTAGGCCATGCAGTTACCCGAGTACAAAGTGGCCTTTTGAGCATTTTTGGCGGATTCCATGTATATAATAAGCCGAGCTGATACAGTTTTGTAGTCTGTATTTGCAGTTCCATAGGAATTATACATGCCTCGACTCCGCAAATAAGAGAAAAAAAAATGCAAAATTTCAGATCCTTTCCACTCTCACGGACTTGAGAAAGGAGACCATGCTTTGCAGTTGGAGGGATGGATCATGGAATATCGACAGTCTGTGGAGTTGTCACGGCATTTTGATTCACAATTCTTTGCTCTTCTGTTTTCTTTTTCTTTTTTTTTTTATAGGGTCCTAGCTTTATTTGAGTGGGAAATCTTTTGGTAGGGAGCAGAAATCCAGAAACGGTCAACAATTTCGTATAAGTTGCAGTTTAATGTTCATGAGCCGGGGCGTTGTTGTGTCTCTATGCTCGCATTCTAAATATGGTTAGTAATAACATTTTGCCCCCTCAATGAAAAACAATAAGCTCTTTGCCTACTTGAGAATATTTCAGTTGGAGCTTGTGTCAAGTATTCCCAAAAATAGACTGTTGACAATTCTATGATATGAAACTGAGGGGAAGTGGTGGAGGGAGGCGGAGGTTATAACTTTGTTTCCACAAGATTAATTTGATTGAAGATAATATAGAGGTGGAATTGTCAACGTATATGAGTAGTTCATTTTCTTACTTTTTACAAAAAAAAAAAAAAAAAGAATACTTGCTATAAATACCAAACAAAAGATTCTTGAGTGGGTAAAGTGCCTTTTCTTCATTGACGGGAACAAAGTGTTATTACTCCTTACATTCAGGGGGCAAAACGTTATTAACTCTTCTAAATACTAATACATGACTTCATGTATCATATTTACGAAAAATCCTAATCCTACTCGTACTCGTACTCTAGTTCTTGAACTACTAATGCGTGTCCTTCCCCCAATACGGATTTGGATTTAAATGATGTTTTCAGGATTCATAATATCTTCAGTAGCTGCAGAATGCAATTAATGGTTCAGATAAAGTAATTTGTAATTTGATGGCTAAAATTGAAGTGTGGGCACAAATTTCAACAAGTAACAAAAGAAATTGTGTTTTTACATTTATCGTAGTCTTAATATTTACATTAATTAGTTTAATGTCTGTATTTTTAGTGTTTAAGTTCTACATTATAATTACAGAAGCTCTGGATGTTTCACTATATAAAATGATGATTTTGTCTTTTTCTTTTTCTTTAACTCCCCCCCCAAAACACAAAAAAAAAAAAACCGCCACTTGAAAGTTGATCCATCTGTAACAGGGCAGTAAGTTTGTGTTTAGGATAGTATTTTAATCAATTTGTTCAGTTTTTTTTTGGGAGCAAACGGTAACTTTCATATAAACTTTAATAAGATATTCAAAAGTATTACAATTGTTGGGCCCATCAACAGACTGTGACTTGCTTTTTAGTCACATTGGAAAACTTGTTTCTGATTTAACTTCCTAAACTAGTTTAATGGCACATTTTGCCAAGCAATTATGACTAATGTCATCATTCTCCCTCATAACAAAACAGGAGGAGCAATGCCAAATGAGGTCTACTAACTTAAGTATGGTAATTAAGTAATACATCTCAACTCACAAAGCAGGTTCACGAAAATGATACCATAATATAGAATGAAAAGCAAGCCAGGCTTAACAAACGCACCGAAAATCATATTAAGGTGGCAAGCTGGGCATAGACCTAAGCCATCTCCTCACACTAGAAACATAAGTGCTCTTTTTTACCATTTATTTTTTCTACAAGAGATTTCAGATTTTGCCAGCTCGTTTAATCATGAGTAACAGTGCTCATTGGCAGTAGACAACCCTTTATTTACAGCGTAGTTATCTGGTCACCTCCAAGCCACCACACATTTATAAACTTAATTGGGCACTTCCCTAAAAGAAAAAGAAAATCTTTTCCAGCAATGCAGACTGATGTTTTTCTTTTCCCGGCCCAATCAGTATATGCATCTCAATTGTCGCAGACAAGCAACTGATCTTCTCACAACATCTGCAGCCATTGATTTTGATTCCAGGCAAACTCCAGTTAGTCATCAGTCAAGATAGACCAGAACTGAATGCTTATCCACGTAAAGAATTCCTAGAGAACCAAGAACAAATAATCAAGACCATTGAACATTAGGCACCAACTGCTACCGGAAGATTTATTCAAGTCTTCCAACATTTTAATGTTCCTTTTCCTTCTCTTAGAACAGGGTAAGATAGACGTTCCACACTCTTTAGAAAGGAAGGGAAAAAGGAGCACTGGGAAATAGCACGGAATAGGTTTGACTTCTGGAAGTGCATGAAGTAATGATTTATTCTGTATAGTTTTATTAGGGATAAGTTAAACAACTAGAAGAAACTCCTCAATCCTGACAAATGTGGTCCATCAGAACTTGAAAAACAACTAAACACTGCCTAATGCCAAGCAAATACTGACTTTTCGCTGCCAACCTGATATTGGCTTAACTTACCTTACATTGTTATGGAATGCCACAATGAACAATTTCTCACAATCCTGCATAGGTCTGCTTAATTTTGGCTACTTCATCACAACATCCATATTTATTCACTGTCCCCATAAATGATATCTCCCTCTTGTGAAAATCTCTTGTTAGAGACAGTCACTTCCCTAGCGCATAGTTCTAAATGACTCCAGCTTTTTCATCACAGTATATTATAAACAAACAAAGCTCGTTATCGTAAACATGAACCAGGTTCAAGTTATTATTAGAGAACCATTTAAGGCTGGAAAACAAAAACATGAACCAGGTCGCTAAGTTGATATTAACATTAGAAAACCATTCAAGGCTGGAAAACAAAATTACCATGGACTTATCTGAAGAACATTGGTTCTTTTGCAAGCTAACAAGACCATTGCAAAGCCTTTTCCATAGATCTCACATATTTTTGGTGGCTTAGCATGGATATGAAGTAGACAAATTCCACCGCTCGCTCTTAGCTGCAAGAACAGCAAAAGATTTAATTGAGCAACAAAGCAATTTTAGCTGTAAACCTATCGACAAACTACATTTGTATTATCTGAGTTAAAAATATAACCAAGTAGTCAAAGAACCTAATGAAAGCACTTTCTAAGTAGTCCTTGTAGTTATGGCTCAACTTTAGCATAAATGGATATAGTTTAAGAACTCTAATCAACTCAAAACCCTAACTCTCGTCTTGGGCAGTTCGTTTTAAACAAGACAGAGAAACAGATAACGAAAGCAACTTTGTTCAAAGTTCAGAATTGTCTTATGCCATGAGAGCCTAAAAATGATAGGACAAAAAGAAAGCAGAGGTATCAGGTCATGCTGGCATATTACTCCTAGAGTTGATGCCGAGGCATTTTTCCCTCTTAGATCCTTGGGAAAATGAAAAATCTACAAATTGAGGTACCTGAATTGAGTTCTGAAATGTGAGTTTCCGATATTTCCTTCAACCTCATGTAGAAGCTGCCTGCAAGTATGCCCGTCTAGCAGGCCCTTCTCTTGTAACTCTTGCAATAAATGCTTGGCATCTTCGGCCCCTCTTTGGCGACAAGTTTCATCAAGTATGGTCCTATAGGTGATAAAATCAGCTGATCTTTGGTTTTCAGTCATCTCCCACAAGTACTTCACCGCTTCATCAACTTCTCCACTCAGAGCCAAGGAGTTCACAATTGATTTGTATGATTTACTACTAGGGACAAATCCTTTCTCCTTCATTTCCATACACAACTCCCTGGCGTTATTCGTTCTTCCTTGTGCACACAATCCATGGATCAAGTAATCATATGAAAAGGAATTAGGCAAGCACTTATAGACCACTCCCATCTGATGAAATACTCTGAGGGCATCATTAACATGAAGTGAAAGCACATATCCCTTTATCATAGAATTCAAGGAGAAAATATCAGGTTCAATCCCATCGTCGATCATTTGTCTGAAAAGGCATCTAGTTGTCTCCATATACATGTGATTTATGTATGAGTTCTTTCCCCTACTCAATAAAGCTGCAAAAAGGATATTAAATGTGGTAATTGAAGGCCTGCAGTCCAATTTTCCGATATCCCTCATGTGATTATATATGTTCACTGCTCTAGTCAATTTTCGAGCTTCTGTAAAATAATAGATCATTGTATTGTAAAGAGCTTCCGTACCCATAGAACGAATAGCAAGCACTTGATTAACAACATCATCCATCTCTTGGTACATTTTCGCAGCACCAAGTTTCTTTATTGTAATGTGGAAACTTGAAACATTGTGCCTAAACCTATGCTGTTTTGAAGCCCAATTAAACAACTCCAAACAAACTAAAGGGTCCTTCTCTAAAACTATGACATTGCAAAGTTCCTCGGGAGTGAACCTAGGTGGGAGCCCAGAAATAGCCCTCTCAAATTGGGCTTCATCTAGAACAGGTTTTGCGGCAGCTTTTGCCCTCTTACTCATTCTCCTCCTTAAAGATCTTGAAGGGGGTCCCCTCAGGCGTCGAATTGGATACGGACTTGTAGAATAAAAAGAAACCAGAAAAAGTGAGAGGGAAAATGCAACCAGGAGTGTTTGATTTGAAGCAATTGAAATCTGGATGGGAGCTGAATGGCATCTAAAATTCCATATACTGGAAATGGGATGAAAAGAATGAGTAACTATTGAATGATTATAAAAGGATGCTAAACGTGGGGCAATCTTTAAGTAAGAACTATGAACTTCTGAGCCCCTAACAGATAGATTTTGCCACAAAGATACCATCTTGGACCGAATTTTTGTGACATGATTTCTTGGTACTGAAAGCATAATGAAAATGTGAAATGAACACAGCCCAACTCAAAATGAACAACATATGGATATTAAAAGCTACAGCAGAAGTTCGTGATACGATTCTTGGAAGCAATTAAACTCAAACATATTGAATTTGTGGCAAGGTAAGGTGAAGGGTTCACAGCAAAGCTTCGAAAAAGAGAACAATTGAATCAAAACATGATTCAATAACAATACATAGGCAGGTGGAATTCACGGTTGCATAAATAGATCGACTACGGATTAGGAGGAGCAACCATGAGTAACGATAAGAAAGATCAAACCTCTGAGGAAGCAGATTTTGCACAACAACGGGAATGAAGCTCTCTTCCTCTGAATTGTAGCATACCAGTAGTTTAGTTCGACAGTATAGACTGGAGGAGGTGATGAATTGGACTGCACTTTTGATTGACAAGTTGCAAAATGGGCTTAAATTTAATGTTGAGGTCCATATTTTGATAGTCCATAGGCCCATAAACTTCAACTCATCAAGCTTGACGATGTTCATGATCCGTCGTTGATCCGTAAGTTTTAAGATCATCTAAAATTAACTAGTCGTATTAGTAAGTTTTTAAATCACTATTATTACCAAGGGACTAAAATATTGTTTCCAGGTGAAACTGATAATTCATTTGATTTACATTCAACAATGCTTAATCACTGAAAATTGTATGTATACTAAGGTAACTTTTTTTAAAATTTTTTTTAACGGGGAGGGGTGGGGGATTTATAATAAACAGCGTAGGAGAAAGAGGATTAAAATTTCCCGAGTCTCAACCTCTTAATGATATCTCACCAAGGCAAAGTATCCTTTAAGAGGTAACTTTCTGGTACTACTTGATATTAAAATGTCATCATGGTAAAAGTTGTTGATCTTGATCCTAAAATTTCCTTCTGATAAAATCCTAACAGGTAAAATTTGTATCCCCAAAATTTCTGGAAATTTAGCCCCTTTAGCTAGAGTGGCTATAAAAAATAAATAAATAAATTCAGTGCACAAAGAATGGAAGAAATGAAAATAGCAGCCAAATATGTGTATTAATGGTTTTCTGATGCAGTAAGCATCGATTATTCCATCCTGTTAGCAAACCGCTTAATATTCCCGTCCCACCATCCTACAATGGGTGGGACAACAATGACAAATAACCGATCAAGGAGATCAGTGACATTTTCTTGCTACAACAATGAATAATCAAATCCCTCAGCAGCACTGAGAGTACAGTAGTACAAGAATGAATAAATCAGTAATTTGAGATGACCGACAAGAACTGCCAAATGAACCACGAAGAAGCTCATCAGCAAATTCATGCTCCTTCAAAGTAAGCATTCCAGTTCGAATCTGAAATCTGATCGAATGCAACCCTTGTGAAAAAATTGATATTTCGGCTACTTCTTTAGCTAGGTGGATCAAGTTTGGAGTTTGCTGGACACTGGGAATAAAAACTACAGAAGTTGCATTTCCACCGCTCCTCTTCTGCAGCATAACTGGGTTCTCGTTCCCCTCGCCAGAACTCCAGACAAGACTTGAGTTGATTATTGAGCCAATCAGCATCATAAGCAAACTGATCTTCACCGATTAAAGATTGATCTTCTTGGTATTCATACCTGTAGAAGACAATATTCTTGCTAGTGTAAAATGGACTACCGCAGAGTGCCCTGAGTGATTTGTGGTTTTCCAAATGAAAGTCTTTTAAAAGCGTTAACCCAAAAAGACAAATAAAAAAAGGCAAACTTTTGGATAAGGAACAAGTGAACATCAATTGTACAATGTTGAGGATAAGTGACAAGCTTAATTTCTGCAAGTCCCTCTTCGTTTTTAGTCTCAACTTCTTCTATATAGTAGTAGGCACTTGATAAAGGGCAAATGAAATATCTTCTAGGAAAAAGAAAAGCACTTGTAAACTTTTAGTCTGCCTAAGGTCACTGGGTGGACATGGCCTCAAATCTTTTTTCTTAGCGCTCAGAATACTCATCAATATAGGCAAATGGCAGAAACTAGACCTATGGATTTTATTGTTGTAAAACATGCTGAAAGTGGAAAATTTTGGGGAAGATGTGGAGGGAAGGAGGTCAGAAAACATGAAAAGGAAATGAAGAGCACAGATCATATGAAACGTCAGTGCTGTCTTCTTTTGAAATTGGTTAAAATTCATCACCAGAAGCCATGCTAGGAGATGGAGAAAAAATTCGGCAGTCCATATAACGCTTATCTAACAACACACATGGAAATCCTTAACCAACCTTAGTAACAGTTGGTCCTGAGCTGGAGGCAGCATACAACAAGTATTTCGATAGTATGCCACCAAATCATTCAGAGTCTGCATAAATGCAAAGGATAAGATGTTCAATTAAACACAAAAATAAGCACTCAAAGTGCATAAATGGGTATATTACAGGTAATCCCTTATACTGAGCCACAATGATATGTAAATTGATATTTTACTACAGGACTAGAACACTATCCAATTTATCAACGTCTCACTTCATATACATGCTATATCAGCAGCAAGAAATAGAGCAGGAAAGTTCCTGGAAGAGAACATTTCAACATGTGTCACTTCATCATACAGGCTTGCATGGAGAAAAATTCTCGTCTAAATTAGTGAGATCAAGTAGTTAAATGCCCAATGTAATGGACTCCTAAATCAAGTAAGTCAAAGGCGAAGAAAGAAAAGCATCATACATCTGCAGGAAAACCTGATTTGGCTGTGTGCTCTCTGATCTCATCTGAAAGAATGACGTGAGGATTCAAAGCAAAGAAATCAAAAAACTGTCCAGAAGGAAATTTATCAGCCACTAAATTGTCCCACAGACGCTTGTAGCACATCAACTGAAGCCTGTCAAAAGAAATATGCACTTCATCACCATTTTTGTTTGATCTCCAAGAAAAATGTATTGCTTCAATTTCAAGAAGCAATGCTATTAGCTGGTATCTTCCTCAGCAACCTGACCAAAAACCACACTTGATAGTACCTTCCATTTCTCTGTTGTGCTTCAGTAGGAAGCTTTGCTCGTGCACGAGTTTTTGTATCAACTAATGTAGGATATCTTTCAGTTTCTGTAACAGGCATTCGAATTTCATCAATTACTCCCACCATCCATAGACCTTCTTCAAAGCTTACTCTGGTGGTATTACCAGGCCATCAGATCACAAGAAGACCTATTATACTCCAGAATCACCCAATAAATGAAATGCAGTGTCTGGAAGCATGAGCTTTGCACACAACAAGGTGCATGTTTGTGCGAACGTGTTGGTGTGCAAGAAACTGAGAATGCACACAAGAGGAAAGGGGCAGAAGAAATCATAAAATGCATAAAATACACGAGAATCTTACAAAGGCAATTCACGCGTCAGTCCATCAAATAGCAACTGATTTGCCCCAAGTATAAAATTCATAAACTTCACAGCCCATGTGTCTTCAACGGATGCAACATGGATTTTGACCTTTTTGACAACCTGCAACCATACAATCGAAGGTCAGGCAACAATCTGAATAAATAAAGACTAAAATGATAATTATCCACGAAAAATATTCTGTTCTCTAATTGATAGTGCTCTATTTCATTCAGCTAAAATCCAAACATAATTAACCAGAATCATAACAAAAAACACATTGATTTCAGGGTTTGGACATATATAAAAAAGGAAGATGGTAAGGCTAACTTAGAATAGGAAGGTTAAAAAGTTGAAGCTTGACAGGTCATGGGCATTATCCATATGTAAGGTCCATTAGGAGATCGTAGACTACCTCTTCTTCAAGTGCTGCATGGCGAGCAATACCAGCTTCCATAGCTTTATTTGATTTTGCTCTGCCAAGGTTCAGAGTAAACTCCATTTGTTTCTCACACCATTCCTGAAAGTCCACGCACGATATCAATTTCGATTCTACGAGTAGCAGATTCAATCAGATGTTGCAACAGGACCATCACAAGCACAACATTTCCCCACGATGAATTTTAAAATGTAGTAATTTTGTGATCTCTAAAATAGCTGTTAGGTCCTAAACTCCTAGGTATATCCCATTTGCCCCTCCTCAGCTGCAAAATTCAACAATCTCCAAATTCCAAATCATTGAAAGCCTTCATTTGAGCTACGTAGTACTACTAAATACTACTTAAAATTGGACTGACAATGCATTGTTTATTTCTTCTATCTTAAAAATATCAGCCAAAAAAGCCAACTGGAGTTAATCGCTATTCATAGAACAGCAGCAATGCAGCATCAACATCACCCAAAAAAATCAGAAATTTTACAAACCTTCTTCTTCGAATCCGAATAGCAAAAAAGCATCAATATTTATAAAAGACGAAGGGAACAAAATATTAATGAGATATGTACCCCGGCAGTAATATCAGTAACAGATAAGCCTCTTTTCCTCCTAAATTTATGCAAAAGTGAGCCGTGAACTCGATTCTGCTTCTTCTTCTTCTGAGTTAGCCCATCATCACCACCCGAGTCCTCTATATCTGCCACCGAGTCAGACCCAGTTCGGCTACATCTGGAAATCCGCTTTTTGGACAATAAAGTTATGGACTTTATAGACCGTATATTATCATTAGGCGGAGCTGTAATATTTCTTTGAAATCGAGTCAAGGAGGAAATGGTCCGAGTTGCAGAGGCGAAAGCAGCTTCAATGAGGGCCATTTCTTCGTCTGGGATGATCTCAATTGGGATGTCAGGGGTTGAACAAGTACGAGTGGTGGTGTCTTGGGTTGAAGGGGAGTCAGTTGGGGACTTGGTCATGATGATGATGATGGTGTTGAGTCGGGACCGAGTTTTGCGGGCAGTGACCGTTGGAAACGCCACCAACAGGCGAAGAAACGAATTATTGGGTCTGGACTCTGGACTTGGCCTTTTATTCAAAAAAAAAAGAAAGCCACAGCTTCTATACGAAGAATGTATTTTCCCGACAGAGCGCTTTTCTTATTAGTAAGTTGTTTCTCTAAATATAAGGCATGGGAGATTCTTTTGGTGTTAAAATTTTGGGATAATATCAGAAACCTCCCTTGAGGTTTCTCTTAATATCACTTGATACCCCTGAAGTTTTTGAAATATCATTTACCTCCCCGAATAATTGTAAAAAGACTATATTAACCCTCATTTGACACATAATTCACATATCAAATAAATGAAAAAAAAATAAAAAAAGTCGCTTATTTCTCTTTTCTTTTTCTCCATCATTTTCTCTTACTCATTTTTTAGATGACTATGTAATATTTTATTTATAAATTATAATAGATTAAATTTTTTTATCTTTTATTTTTTGTAATTGTGATAAAGTGGAGTATGATTTATTTGCTTACTTTGAGTTGATTTTTAGAATGATTGGTACAATTTAATTGTTTGGGCAAGGG